AAAAAAAAAATGACAACCACAATTCTCTTATCCTGCCTCAGAATACAAAAATGATTAATATTGTGTAATCTCCAGTCCAAATTCCAATTTTGGCAACTACAGCCAAGATTTTTAAACGCGCCTGGGTGACCGTGAGTGTTTTCTCTTGGGAGAGGTTGTAAGCTGGAATTAGGAGACCTTGGGTCAGGAATTAGGAGTCTGACTTCTGTGCCACTGGGGCTGATGACCTGCATGTGGCTGTCAGAAACCTCCTTCCTGCTGTCCTTTTGGGCCTTGGTTTGTCCACCAAGTCTCGCGTAGCCAATCTCCCGTGCCCTGGCCACCCCACCGGGCTGCGTGTGTCTCTTTTCCTCTTTGGGCTTGTGCGTCTGGTCTAGAGAGCCTTGGAAGAACTCTCCAGGTGTGGGGAGGTCACTGTGGCATCAGGTGACGGTTCCCGGTGGCTCAAGAAAAGATCTGGGCCCTTGCAGGGTACGGAGTTTCTGGGCACAGAAAATGTGCCTTGTTCCAACCCGCACTGACCAGAGGCCACCAAGTGGTGGCCCATGGTTGGATGAAGCCCAGATGGGTCTGCTGTGTGCCACACACGGCAAGAGGAGAAAATTAGGGTGTTCCACGTGCGAAACACCAGGTCTCCAGCTTCTCCTGCGAAATGCGACAATGGGCCGTCCCTTGCTGGGGACTCCCTAGGAGAGCCCTCTCTCAGCATTGCTGCCGTCCCCACCCCTCCTGTTGTCTCTCCAGTTTGCATCTGTTCTGTCACTCTGCTTGCCCTAACCATTGTCCTATGACGTTGAGAATTCTCCGAACCTTCTGTGTCAGTTACAAAAACAGGAAAACGAAAACTAGAGCAAAGTGGCCGCCTGCTGCGTCTACGAAGCGGGAGGCAAGGAGTGGGGGAGGGGAAAAGGGTTCATGGCCGACAGCTTGTGGGTGAACCCTGGGGAGGAATAGACGCTCAGGTTGCTGAAACCCTGCGGTCCCCCCCTATGCATCCTCACAGAGCCTGAGGCCCTGAGCTGAGTTGAGTTGAGTGAGGCAATCCACTAACACGGCACAGCTAAATGATGCCGCTTCTGCTTGAACCAGAATGTGGACTGTGTGTATCGGGCACTTAACCTGCGTTGGGTCCCTTGACCCCTTTGGCAGACTCTGGCGGGTGGGGGGAGGGGCAGGTGCTGCTCTTTGAGCACCACCTGTATACGCAAATCATTCATCTGACACATATTTATTAAACGCCTTCTCTGTGCCAGGCACTGTTGTTAAGTATTGGGGGTCAAGTGCCTATATTCGTGGAACTTCCGTCCAGTGTGGGTGTGAAAGCTGGGTGCTGCCCATCCTTAACCCTCTCCCCCACTTTGCAGAGGGTTGAGCTCGAGAGAGAGGCCAGGTGGCAAGGTTGGCCATGGAGTCTGTGAGTGGCGAGTGGGCAGTTTGGGGAGGGGCCCATGTGACGGGAAGTGGGGAATCAGAAAAGGTGTCTTGGCATCTGAAACCGGAGGGACAGGCTGTGTGGGCAGGAGCCGGGGATGAGGGGGTCCAGCCCTACCTCCCTCCTCTCCAAGGGCCTGGCCGTATCTCAAAACAGTGAGGGTGTCCGTGGGCGAGGCTGGAGACCGCAGACCCCAAAATAGAGTCTCCTTCATCCCTGCTGGCTGACGGCTGAGTCACCCTGGAATGTGGCCTGGGCCCGAGCTGCATGCAGGGCCTAGGATCCAAGAGCCAGCCGGCTACATCGCGCGGGTCAGACTCCTGGGCTCCCAGCTTCCTGCCTTTGTCTGAGCCTCCTTGGGACTTTTCTGGGGAAAGATGAAAGCTGCCAGAAATAACACCTGGCTCACTGGGGAGCTCTGGCCGCAGCCTGGACAAAGAGCAGGGAAAGGAAGCCATAGCCCCTGCTCATACCCGCAAAGGTGTCTTAGAGGAAGAAGCCCCCCGTCTTGGAAGCGGGGGAGTCAGATGCTAGCTTCACCTCCACTTCCGTTGTCACGCTCCTGGATGATCTGTGTTGTGACTTTTTAAAAGCATAACCACATCACTTTCCAGCCCCCCCTTCCAACCCTCCGGGGGCTCCCCATCATATTGGGCATGGAAACCTGACCCTGGCTGCAGGTCAAATCCTGCCTCTCACCTCTACAGTCCACTCCAGCCACACTAGTGCCTGCTGTCTGGAAAGCCCCCCACCCCAGGGCCCTTGCACTCGCTGTTCCCACTGCCTAAATTCCTTCTCTCCCCACTCTGGCGCTCCACTCCCTTCTCATCCTGCTGGTCTTTGCTCACATGGCACCTCCACAGGGAGGCCCTCCCTGACCAGCCCTTGTCACCTAGCTCTCTTTTTTCTTTGCTGAGATATAATTCACACACTATAACATTTACCATTTAAAAAAATTTCCTAAATGTTTGTTTATTTTTGAGAGAGAGAGGCAGAGCACAAGTAGGGGAGGGGCAGACAGACAGGGAGATACAGAATCTGAGGCAGGCTCAGGGCTCTGAGCTGTCAGCACAGAGCCTGATGCAGGGCTCGAACTCATGAACCGTGAGATCATGACCTGAGCCGAAGTCAGATGGTTAACCGACTGAGCCACTCAGGTGCCCCTACATTTACCATTTTAAAGTATACAATTCAGGGGCACCTGGGTGGCTCAGTCAGTTAAGCGTCCGACTTCAGCTCAGGTCAGGATCTTGCAGTTGGTAGGTTTGAGCCCCACATCAGGCTCTGTGCTGACAGCTCAGAGCCTGGAGCCTGCTTTGCATTTTGTGTGTCTCTCTCCCTGCCCCCGCCACTCCCTCTCTCTGTCTCTCAGAAATAAATAAACATTAAAAAAAATAAAGTATACAATCAGTGCTTTTCAGAGTATTTGTAGGGTTGTGCCGCCCTCACCACTGCCTAACTCCAGAATATTTTTTGTCATTCCCCAAAAGAAGCCTGGAAACCTGTCTCCATAAGCAGTCCCTCCGTATTCTCCCTCGAGCTCTGGCAACCACTAATCTACTTTCTGCCCCTCTGGATGTGCCTTTTCTGGACATTGCATAGAAGTCGATCACCCAAGAGGTGACCTCTGTGTCTGGCTTCTTTCACTCGGCATAATGGTTTTAAAGTTCTTCCACACTGTGGCATGAATCAGTCATTCCTTTCTATGGCTGAATAATGTCCCACGGCATGAACATACCGTATTTTGTCTGTCCACTCACCAGTCAGCATCCTTTGGCCACTGTGAACAGCAGCGTGCAGGTTTATATGAACTTACGTTTTCAGCTCTTTGGGGTATGTTTATGTTGCTGGGTTGTGTGGTAACTCTGTTAGCCTTTCAGGGACCTGCCAGGCTGGTTTCCACACGAGCTGCACCGTTTACATTCCCACCAGAACTATATGCGGATCCCCATTTCTCCACATCTTTGCCAACAGTGACTATTTCTTTTTTTAGAGGAGAGCCATCTCTGTGTGAAATGGTGCCACACTGTGGCTTTGATTTGCATTTTTTCCCCAGTGCCTCACCATGTCGGGCGTCTTTTCATCTGTTCACCGGCCATTTGTGCATCTCCGTCAGAGAACTGTCCATTCACATCCTTCGTGCATTTAAAAATCGGGTTATTTGTCTTTTCATCGTTCACTCGTAGCTCCTTTGTTTTCTTTATCACGCTTGTCACTCTCTGAAATGATTTTGCTTTTTTTTTTTTTTTTTTTTTTTTGCTTTTGTCTGCCTTCCCCTTATTAGTATGTAAGCCCCATGAAGCCAGGCACCTTGCCTGTCCCGTTCACTGCTGTAACCCCAGCATGTGGAGCAGTGCCTGCTTCCTAGTTACTATTCGGTGAGCGAGTGAGAAGAGAAGGGATGGCTTACTATTCACCAGACAGGGAGCTCTCTGCATGCCTGTGGTTCGGATCATTCTACGACAAAGATAGGGGTCCTAGCCTGGGTTTAAGGCCTCCCAGGGGTCCACCATGAGCAGTGGTCTTGCTATTTGAGGCCCACTTCGTGATCATGATTAGCTCTCCCTAGCGAACAGCCCCTCCCCCAGAGGATGGTGGGGCAGGGACAGCCAGGGGTCAGTGATGAGGACGGTCCTTCTGCTACCCTTTGCCACTCAATCACTCGACCGTGTCTCCAGTCTCATCCTTTCTCTGTGGGCATGGCAGTGGGTGTGAGATGACCAAAGCCCTGTCCACGCTGGCTCAGGCAGAGAACTCTGTGTCCTTGTACTTCTGGGTTCTAGAAAGCTCTCCCACCCACAGGGAAAGCCCACCTCGATTGGATTCCCTAAGATGTACCAACATCAACTGGTCACCCAGCTTCTCCTCTTGGCCCCCTGCAGTCCCTCCTCTACTCAGCCGCCAAAAGGATCCTGTAAAAACTTAAGTCAAATCATGTCCCTGTGCAACTCAAAGCTCTCCCATGGCTCCCACCTCATGCAGGGAAAAAGTTAAAAGTCCTCACAGCTGCCTCCAAGGCTCTGCATGGTCTGACACCTGTTCCTGCTCTGGCCTCAACGTCTCCTGTTCTCCTTGGTCCCTCCACTCCAGCCATACTGGCCTCCTTACTGTTCGTGGAACACGCCAGGCATGGTCCAGCCTTAGGGCCTTTGCACTTGTTACTTCTGCCTGGCAGCGTCTTCTTCCAGATATCTATGTGGCTCCTTCCTTCACCACCTTCAGGTCTTTCTCCAATGTCCCAGGGAAGCCTTCTCTGCCCTCTCCGCTGAAAAGTCATACCCCATGCCCTACACTCTTTTTCTTCTTCCCTACTTTATCAAATAGTGATAAGTACTGTGGCTTCTGCAGGCGACCTGGTGAGCCTCCTCTGGACGTGGGCAGTATCCCGTGGTTGGGCCATGCCTTGGAATTTGGAAAAGATGCTGCCAGCTTCCTCACCAGGATGAAGGAGAAGCACGGTGATATATTTACTGTAAGTGCCTCATGTGCGTCGAGGGAGGGAAGGGGGTGAGCAGGTGGGCCTGTCGTCTGGTGTTCACTGATTCCTTCTATATCCTTCCATACCCTAACCTACCATCCAGTGGTCTTGCCAATTTTCCATCCATTTTCCCATCCAACTGTACAGCCAACACTTAGTAACATCCATTCCTTCTTCCCAGCATCAAGTGATGCAGTCATTCAGTGTCTATGAAGTTCTTGTTCGTCCTTCCAACTGACCTCTATCCATCCACTCAACTTCCATCCATCCATCCATCCATCCATCCATCCATCAACATCCAAACAGCCACCACACCCATCCACCTTCAGGCATCCTTTTGGGTTCCACCCATCCAACACTCATCCTTCGGTCCTTTTCCCCAGTACCCACTGAGCCTGCTGCCACCATGTTCCCGACATGCATCCACACTTTCAGCTTCCATCTAACCTCCTCATCCATTCATCTTTCCATCCAACATACATTCACTGATATCCTTCCATTTACCCAACAATCCATCCAGTAGCATTTCTTCTTGGATTTTGGCCTACATTTTGTAAGAGAGTTTGAGTAACATGACTCCCAGATCACACTTTGGAAACAGGGCCAAGGCAGTTGCGTGGGTGTTTAGAATTGTGTGGCCACTCCCCCACACAGACATTTGAGGGAAAATCCCCTTTCCTTTGTTAATTACAGGATTACAGCTCTTTCTCTTTTCCTTACCTTCTTGGGCAGCAGGTTACATTCAGGGCTCGGCCTCCCAAAGAAGTGGGTATTTCTGGCACATTCGCTAGCATTTATCCAACAGCATCCACTCATCTATCCACCTGTTCTATCCAGTCTCTCCACCCATGATACGCACAACACCCATTTGCTGCCTTCTGTGGGCAGACTCTCTTCCGGATGCTGAAGATACGACAGTAACCAAGATAATGATGGCAGGTGCTGAAGAGTGAGGTGGTTGAGAGCCTGACGTTTGCTACCGAAAAATGCTGAGTGCCAGTCCTTTCGCTACTGTGTCTCAGCTGTGTGATCTTGAGCAATCCCCTGCCTTCTGTCAGCCTCAGTTTTCGGCTATAAGTGGTCCCCACGTCACAGACAGTCGTGAGGAGTGGATGGGAGAACGCTGTCTGTGAAATGTCAGGTCCTGGCACAGGGTAGGCCCCTGACCACTGAGAGCTCCTCCTTGATGGCATTTCTCCTCGCCTCGTCCCTGCTGACTTCCCACAGGTGCTGGTGGGGGGCAGGTATGTCACTGTCCTCCTGGACCCCCACTCCTATGACACGGTGGTGTGGGAGCCTCGCACCAAGCTGGACTTCCACGCCTATGCTGTCTTCCTCATGGAGAGGATTTTTGACTTGCAGCTCCCACATTACAGCCCCAGTGATGAAAAGGCCAAGATGAAACCGTGAGTGGCTCAAGGTGGCCCCTGTGGGTGGGCGGGGGAGGGCGTGATCTGCTTCTGCCTGCATAGCCCAGGTGCTGAGTGGCTTGAGTTTGTGTCCACACCAGGTATCCGGTCAAGACATTTATTTTGAGAAGACAGACACAAAGGAAACCAAAAAAAAAAAAAAAAAAAAAAAAAAAAAAAAACAAAACAGCCCCAAAGAATTAGGCTGAAGAAAGGCTCTTCTCATCTTTACTTCTTTTAGGAGACAGGTCTGATTTCAGTAGGAGGAGGCCAGGGTTTGGGTCAGCCAGACCGAGAGTCAAATCCCAGCTCCCCCACTTCCTAGCTGTGTGACTTGGGGCAAATCCCTTGCCCTCTCTGGGCCTCTGTTTCCTTGTGTGAAAGGAAGGGAGGTGGGCAGGGGGGCTAATAGTTTCGAGCCCATCCTCTGTGGTCTCATTAGTCTTCATGACAATGCTGGAGGGTGAGTAACTTACAGCCCCACTTTATGGATGAGGACACTGGGGCTCGGAGAAGACTTGCCCGAGGTCACACAGCGAGGAAGTGATGTAGGTCCTGAAACATAAGGAATAATTATATCAACATGAGGACGTGTGGGCACATGTACTCTGCGTTCATTACTTCTGCAAATATCTGAGGACTTTCTATACACTGGTCTAGATGCAGGGGGCCCAGCATGATGCCAACCACAATTTGAAGATGCCAGTCATATGCCGGGTGTTTGATAGGAACACTTACATCTCTGTGCAATCCATCTACCTCAAGAGGTAGATATTTTTATCCTCGTTTTACAGGTGAGGAAACATACTCAGGAGTGAAGTGACGTGCGTGTTCCATCACTGGTAAATGGCACAGCTGAGATTTGAACCCAGGTCTGCAGACTCCAGCTGAGATGCTGAGGAAATAAGACTGTGTGCATCCCTAGAGTTCGTGCAGTCTGACAGGAATCCTTAGTGATCTGTCTCCAGGAAGGGTGGCCTCCTGGGGTTAGGAAAAGTCTCTAGAAGACTGGGTTTTGCAGGGCTGCTAAAGCTGAGGAAAGGCCAGAGTATGAGGTGAATGCTGATTAGAGGAAGTACCCAGTCTGAACTTGGCTCTGTGGGATGGCCGCTAGGAGATTTCTGAGCCCAAGTGTCCTAGGTCCTGGCATTCTAGGGGGACCATTGGGTCCCATTAGCAATAAGATTCCTCGGTTCGCTGCATTCTACCCTGCTACCCAAAGAGGACCCCACTTTCCTCCAGTGTCTGCCCTAAGAGTTTCTGGAAGTTTCTCCTAAGCCCGCATGTTGTCTACTGGGCGTGGCTCCTGCATCTGCTAAGGGCTACTGTCTCCATCAAGTGCTTGGAGTGGGGTCTAGGGAACAGCTAGATCAGGGTCACTCAGGATTGTGTCCTACCTGGCAATCATTGGTCAGGGGACAGTTTATCCAAACAGGTGTGCCTAACTTTGGGTCTCAAGGAGGAAGGGTCGGCCTGCTGTTTCTCTCTCTTCCAGACGTCTTTGGGTTCCTTATCCAAGCTTGTGTGCCCCAAGGAGGGGCAGACTGTCACGGTTAGGAATTCAAGACTCTGTGGCTGGGTGACCTTGGGAAAGTCACATTCCTCTCTTGTCCCTGAGTTTCTCTGTCTGTAAAATGGGTGTCATAACAGCAACTGTGATTCCCTAGAGTTGTCAAAAGATGAAACAGGATCATGGTGCTTAGCACCGTGAAGAGTAACTGTCACTGTCATTGATGATGATATTAATAGTAATACCATCGTGGCTAAGCCAGTTGTCCGCAGGCCCCCGTTGCCAGCGGGGCCCTGGGGCCCTGGGACCCTGAGCTTTGGGAATAGGGGTGCCTGTGTGCATACGTTTCCCGCTGGAAGCTGTGCTCTTACTTTGTTTCCTGCCCCAGGACTCTCCTCCACAAGGACCTCCAGGCACTCACGGAAGCCATGTACACCAACCTCCGCACTGTCCTGCTGGGGGACGCCACAGAAGCGGGCAGTGGCTGGCATGAGATGGGTCTCCTCGACTTCTCCTACAACTTCCTGCTCAGGTGAGCCGGTGCGGCTGCCCTCGTTGGGAGTGGAGCCCAGCACTCTGCACCCGGGTCAGCCGTTAATAGTGGCCACGGGAACCATGAAGACTTTGTGGGTGGGGAAGCAGTTTGGGACACTCAGAAGCAAAGACTGCAAGATGACCTTTCGTGTCTGGACCCCAGGCATGCACCTGGCTCAGGCTGTGAGTCGTAAAGGAGGCACAAGTCAGGAAAAGGGGCCTTGCCAGCTGTCCAGAGAGGGAGTAGCAAAACAAGGTTTCAGAGACCATCTTTTCCTGTGGTTTCCAAACCTTAGACTTCACAGGACCAGGAAAACAAAACGTTCGGGAGGCCAACCCAGGACTTCAACTTTTTATCAGAACTTGTAAACTTATAGTAAAAACTGCACTAACGTTCCTTCCTTCAGGAGGCCCAGACAGTATTCCAGGCACTGGACGTACAGCAGGGGAAAGACAGACAACAGACTGAAACTCACCGGGCTGA